AATAATTAAATCCAAATCAAATATTTGTAAATAATTTTTATAATACTTTTTTAAATATTAGACCCCTTGTATATATATATATATATATACAGAAAATTAGAGCTTACCATAAAAGCGACTGCAGATCTTAAAGCGAGTCTTTCTTGTAATCCTAAACCAGCCACAGAGAATTTTAAAATATTGTCAAATATTTCTGATGGTAACGTATATAATGCAATAGGGCATTTTGTAAGATACTAAATAAAAAAGTTTATTTATTATTAATTGTGAATCATAATACACAAGAAATTTAATATCAGAAAAAAAAAAAAAGATTTTTATAATACCTTTGTCAAAAGCTCAAAGAACGAATGTACCATATCCGGGTAATTTTCCATGTCTAAAATATAAATTTTAATAAATATTTAAATAAATAAAATAATTCCATTGTCGTTAATAGCACCAGAATTTACCAGCTTTGTTTTTAACAAATTGAAAAGTTGTGGTTGTAATAGATAATAATAATTTGCTTAATGCTGACTCGTACTCAAATGAAACTCCATAAACTGTTACAGTTTGAACTGCTGTATCCAACCAATAACAATGTGGATATCTTTGATATGATAATTGAATTAACGGCACAATTACTTCGATAGGTATTGAAAATAAATTTAAAGTTGTACGTATTCCGGTATTAAGAAATTTACAAAGACACTTTTAATAAAGAAAGAAAAGAATATATATAGTATTAATATAATTTTATTTAAAAAAAAGTAAATATATTTTTTGATAAATAAATAAATACATTTATAACTTCGTTATCATTATACCAAACTTCTGCGACATTTTGTACAATTTCTGAAAATGAATCAGTAAGTCCTTTGGCCTGGAATGAAATTAAAACCTCATCATTAGATTTTATCACATCAGAGGAAGCTGTAGTTCTATTTGTGGTTTTTGAATCATTATCATCAATTATAATAATTTCATGATCATCAGAAGGTTGAATTCCACGACCACATGCTGTCAAATATTCTAATTGAGTTATAATAATGTCATGAAATTGTGATGGATTCTTTTATAGATTTTATTTGATTTTGATTTTTTTTTGTTATATTTGTAGTAAAATAGTCATTATATATTAAAAAAAGTAATTATTTAAATTCATAAAATAAAAATTTACATACTTGTTTGACATGTAATATAATTTCTTTTGTTGTTTTAATAATGTCACTTGTAATTGTCTGATAATTAATAATTAATAATAACAAACAATTAATAATAATTGATGATAATTGATATATACAAATAATATATGTAAGCTTGCCAATATTGATTGGATCATTTTCTCAGGTGGCAATATTTGAATAACATCTGCTATTGACTCGATAATTTTTTGTTTATCTCTAGGCTAAAAATAAAAAATAAAGAATATAAATAAACTTGTATCATATAAATATATATATATATACACAATTTTATAAAAACCTTTTACATACTTGTATATGAGCTCCGACCACTACATACATATTAATTAAATTATCAATGCCATCAACCAAAGAATTACGACATGTGTCACAAATTTCTTTAAAAGAATTAGCAGCGGTAAATGCTGAGTCAGAATCACTCAATGCTGGTACCAAGTAATTAAGAGCTGGTAATATGTATTGAGAATGAACTTTAAACCATTCTGCGTAAGAGCCTTTTGGAAATGATTATAATAATATGAGTTTCATAAATTAAATAAATTACATGAATTTACAGATAATTATAAAAATGCTAAATTACCAATCAGAGATAAGGCGGTATTTCTTATTCTTGCATTTGTTTGTATAGGTAAATTACCAAAAACATCTGTATTAAATAGACGCAGTAAATAAACATTTTCATCATGTTCAACAACTTCTGAAATAGATTTTAAGCAAAATAATGCCGCTTCTATTTCCTATAAAAATTTATAAATATATTAACATTAATACTTTACAGGTAATATGAAAATTTTTATTTTTGAAATAGTGCATTGTTTAATTGTTTTTAGTACCTGCCATTGAGTAATATCCCTTCCGGTTGTATTCAACTGATTAATTAACAGATCAATTAAATATGCAAGCATTCTTCCTCTTAATATATAATAAGAATTCATAATGGTATCACCAACATCTCTACGATAATTTTTAAATCTTTCTTTCATATCTATTTTCACGTGAAATTCATTAATAATTTTCGACCTTAAATGTAAATATATTCAATCAATCCTTATTCTATACATAAAATACCTTTAACCCACTCAACCCATTCTAAATCTGGAGGATATTGAACTTTCATTTTTAATACTTCAATCAATCGTTGGTAAACAACCAAAGAAGCTTCGTGTATTTTTTGAGCTTGCTCAATGCCCATAGTATTTGTTGAAAGGTTTTGTTTGGTGGCAGCGGAAGAATTAAATTCATTTTCTTCCTCATCTTCAATGATTTTATTAATTTGAATTGGGATAACATCAGAATCAAATAATGATTCTTGTAAAAGATACCAAAACTGTAATGGCAGTTCACTAATGTTTAAAATAATATTTATTAAGGATCCAAATTTTGAATTTGGGAGGAAGTTTTTTTTTTTTGAAAACCAAATTAAAAGTAATAAAAAATTGTTATTTTAAAAAGGATATTTCTTGATCTGAACCAAAATATCCAGGAAATCCAGCAAACATCAACATCATTTCCAAATAAATAATAACATCTTCACGTAAAAAATGAATGGCAATATAATCAGTAAAATTTTCACCAAATGTTGTCATTATTCGACAAAGATTTCTTGCTGAAGCTTCATCAGATTCTAATTTATTTATTGATAAGGAGTTTTTATTTATATTTATAATTATTTATTATTGTTGGAAATTAATCTACACCGATTCCTAATAAAAATTATTAATTTGAGCTAATAAAAAAAAACAAAAGATCTCTTTTTTTATTTTTCTTGACATTACCATTTATTGATTTAGTTATTTGAGACTTTGCCCAATCACTTGTCATGCAACAAAGCATTTTTTCACATACAGTATTCTGATATGATCTGCTATGTGGTTGTAACATAAATTCAACCAAAACTTCTGTTGCTAAGTCATTTGTTGATTCGATTGGAAGAAGGTTAATTACATTATCAATTAATGGAAGCAATGATCTTTATAAAGTTATAACACAATGGGTATGAATGAATATATGAGTAACCTGAAATATTATAACTAACTGATAATAATACAAATTCAACTTACTCAAATGGAACGCCGTAAATAATCCAACTTTGTAAACATCGTATGCTTTTTTGTTTCAACAGTAACATTCGATCAGGATCTCCATGATAATCTGCCAACAAATTTCTCAAAGTTGAAAGAACAATTGGTATAGAATTAATAAGCTCTTGATTGACCTTGGCTCTTTTAGGAATAAAAATCAAAATTTTTAATAAATGTGCAAAGTTATTAATATATAAAATGTTATGAAAGAGCTAATAATTACTTTCGATCACCAATTAAATCAGCCCTTGAAACTTCTTCGGGTACAACTGTCAAGAATTCCAATAATGGTATTTCAACAAATAAAGTCACGCCTTCGTTTTGTGAAGAAGTGGCAGCTACAGCGCTCGATTGTAAAATTTCAAAAAAATTAGGTATAAAATTTGGCCAAATGTCAGGTACAGCTTGGAGAGCAAATGCAGTGAGCTTTTTTTTTTTTTTTAATGGTAAATAATTTTTAAGAAATTTAATAATTGGTGAATTTAAGTTTTCTTTTTTAGAGTAATGTATAGGAATTAATTATATAAATTAATAATTGATTTAAAACTTACAGCCAAACAAAGTTTTGTAATAACAACATTAGGACCATTAGAAAGATGTACAATCCATCCAAGTAATATTTTATGAATCCATTCTCTTTTTTCTGGTGATAAAGTATTCCTTCATTTTATAGACTCTCAATTAATAACTGATTGATTGATCAAATAATTGGTAATAAAAAATGTTTAATGCTTACCAGTCTCTAGAAAGTTTTATTTGAAGGGTATGAGCTCCAAAGAATCGAGAATTTACAGACTAAATAAAAATGCAAGTACAATTAATTCACATTTCAAAAAAGGCAATTCACCAGATTAATTAATAAAAATTAACCTGGGAAGCTAATAACTGAGATGCTAATTCCCAGGCGTGTTGTTGTTTTTGAAGGTTATGTAAATATTCTTGTGCAGATTTCTGATATTGAGGATCAAAACTTCCATAGAGTTGGTCTATTATCTTTATTTTTTAAATATATTTTCATTGAATAAGCAATAATCAACTTTTTATTTATCACTTTAAAACAATTTTGAGTAAATACTATACTTGTTCAACTTGAGTAATTGAGGGAACAGTCTCAACATCCATATTTAAGAAAAAGAAAAAATGATTTTTTCAAAAAAAAAATTTTCAATTTATGAATTACTAGATTTGATTGGTTAAAAACGTGATCATATAACCACTTCTTATTGTTTTATTAAATTCAAAGCTCAAGCAAGACGTTGAACATTATTTATAGCAAGGTTCGAGAAGACATGATATAAATATTATTGTTATTATAAAATATTATTATTTCATACCAAAGATTCAAAATTTACAAATTTTTACTCTTTAAAAAAAATTATAAAGGATGTTTGGGTCATATGGTCATCACTTTTCAATTTATTGAAATAATTCAAAGTGAGGTTTTACTTTTGAACACCAAAGATATTTTATATTGAACATCGTCTGGCTCATTCTTTTTATGTATTGAAAAGAACAAGAATTATAAATGTTCGTAAATAAGTGAGATGAAAAAAAAATTTTTGGATTGATAATTATTGCTATATTTATATTCAAAAAATTTTTTTAGCACAAAATTTGTTTGTCACATTTGTATCACCAAGATCTTGCATATTATCCCTTAAACGGTCACATTAATAAATTTCGGATTTTTTAATGGAACACAAAATTTAAAAATTGAATGTAACACGAAAATTTAATTGACGTTTTTAAATGAACTTGATATTAATAATGTTATATTTCTTTTAATGTGTGAAATTTCATCATCACCATCATCGTTTGTTTCATATTCTTCATTAAATATAGTTAAAGACATTTTCCTGATGATATTGCATGAATACTTGTCAATTTCTCCAAAATCATGAATAGTTTTTTCAATACTCATTTTTTTTTAAAAAAATATTAATTTGAAAATTTAATTAAAGAATAGTTGATTTATTTCAATAAAATTCGAAAAAAAA